GTTGTCCTGGGTGGGGGAGACGCATGCGAACTGCTGGGGCCACTGGGACCCTCGGTGGAGCTCCCTATGGGGCCACGAAACGCTGTCCTGGGTGGGGGGACGCATGCGAACTGCGGCATTGGGACCCTCGGGGAGCTCCCTATGGGGCCACGAAACGCTGTCCTGGTTGGGGGAGACGCATGCGAACTGCACCAATGTGGCCCTCGGTGGGGCTCCCTATGGGGCCACGAAACGCTGTCCTGGGTGGGGGAGACCCGAACTGCGCCACTGGGAACCTCGGTGGAGCTCCCTATGGGGCCACGAAGCGCTGTCCTGGGTGGGGGGGACGCATGATAACTGCGCCACTGGGACCCTCGGTGGGGTTCCCTATGGGGCCACGAAACGCTGTCCTGGGCGGGGGAGGCGCATGCGAACTGCGCCACTGGGACTTCGGTGGAGCTTCCCATGAGGCCACGAAAGGTTGTCCTCCTGGATGGGGGAGACGCATGCGAACTGCGCCACTGGGGCCTTCGGTGGAGCTCCCTATGGGGCCACGAAACGCTGTCCTGGATTGGGGAGACGCATGCGAACTGCGCCACTGGGACTTCGGTGGAGCTTCCGATGGGGCCACGAAAAGCTGTCCTGGGTGGGGGAGACGCATGCGAACTGCGCCACTGGGACCCTCGGTGGAGCTCCCCATGGGGCCACGAAACGCTGTCCCACTGGGCCCTTAGGTGGAGCTCCTTATGGGGCTACGAAACGCGTGAGGGGCGCGCCGTGAGCAGAGGCAACGGGGGAGAGGAGGGCGGAGGGAGGAGGCAGCGGGAGGAGGAGGAGGAGTGAGGGAGACGCGGGGCACCGTCTCTTCAAAACGAGGACCCAACACCACAGGATGGTTGGGGGAAAAAAAAACAAGCATAACACATATCTTAGGTATTTGGAAATTTGATTTCAGGATTACAATAGGATTCCTTTTGTGGGGGATTACACTAGGATTCTTCGTGTGGGGGATTACAAGAGGATTCCATTTGTGGAGGATTACAATAAGATTCCTTGCGTGGAGGATTCCAATAGGATTCCTTTTGTGCAGGATTACAACAGGATTCCTTCTGTGGAAGATTACAATAGGACTCCTTGTGTGGAGGATTACAATCGGATTCCTTTTGAGGAAGATTCCACTAAGATTCCTTTTTGTGGGAGATTACAATAGGATTCCTCTTGTGGCGGTTCCAGTGGGATTCTCTTCAACCCGTATTATAATACGATTCTTTATGATGGGGATTACAAGGGGATTCCTGTTGGCGAGGATTACAATCGGATTTCTTCTATAAACGATTACAACAGGATTCAATTTGTTGAGGCTTCAAAAAGAAACAAGTTGTAAGCCGCCAAGAATCACCGTGGCTCTTTGCGTCCGAGCAGCAACAACTAAAGAAAAATTAGCCTGGCGAAGGACCCAACCATATGCAGTTGTGAGTACCGTCGTTGTGAGTATCCCAATCGGTAGAGATCCCTGTGGGCCGCGAAAGGCTGTCCTGGGTAGGGGAGACGCATGTGACTGCAGCAACTGTTGCCTTCGGTGGAGCTCCCTATGGGGCCACGAAGCGCTGTCCTGGGTGGGTGGAGACGCATGCGATCTGCGGCACTCGGGCTTTCGGTTGAGCTCCCTGTGGGGCAACGTAACGCTGTCCTGGATGGGGGAGACGCATGCGAATGCAGTTGTGGCCTTCGGTGGAGCTCCATATGGGGCCTCGAAGCGCTGTCCTGGATTAGGGAGACGCATGCGAACTGCGCCACTGGGACTTCAGTGGAGCTCCTTATGGGGCTACGAAAGGTTGGCCTGGGTGGGGGAGACGCATGCGAACTGCGCCACTGGGGCCTTCCTGGGCGGGGGAGACGCATGCGAACTGCGCCGCTGGGACCCTCGGTGGAGCTCCCTATGGGGCCACGGAACGTTGTCCTGGGCGGGGGAGACGCATGCGAACTGCGCCACTGGGGCCTTCCGTGGAGCTCCCTATGGGGCCACGAAACGTTGTCCTGGGTGGGGGAGACGCATGCGAACTGCGCCACTGGGACCCTCGGTGGAGCTCCCCATGGGGCCACGAAACGCTGTCGGGTGGGGGGGACGCATGCGAACTGCCCACTGGGACCCCGGTGGAGCTCCCTATGGGGCCACGAAACGCTGTCCTGGGTGGGGGGGCGCATGCGAACTGCGCCACTGGGGCCCTCGGTGGAGCTTCCTGGGGGCCACGAAAAGCTGTCCTGGGTGGGGGGGACGCATGATAACTGCGCCACTGGGACCCTCGGTGGAGCTCTCTATGGGGCCACGAACGCTGTCCTGGGTGGGGGAGACGCATGCGAACTGCCATTGGGACCTTCGGTGGAGCTCCCTATGGGGCCACGAAACGCTGTCCTGGTTGGGGGAGACGCATGCGAACTGCACCAATGTGGCCTTCGGTGGGGCTCCCTATGGGGCCACGAAACGCTGTCCTGGGTGGGGGAGACGCATGCGAACTGCGCCACTGGGACCCTCGGTGGAGCTCCCTATGGGGCCACGAACGCTGTCCTGGGCGGGGGAGACGCATGCGAACTGCGCCACTGGGACCCTCGGTGGGGTTCGGGCCACGAAACGCTGTCCTGGGCGGGGGAGCGCATGCGAACTGCGCCACTGGGACTTCGGTGGAGCTTCCTATGAGGCCACGAAACGTTGTCCTCCTGGATGGGGGAGACGCATGCGAACTGCGCCACTGGGGCCTTCGGTGGAGCTCCCTATGGGGCCACGAAACGCTGTCCTGGGTGGGGGAGACGCATGCGAACTGCGCCACTGGGACTTCGGTGGAGCTTCCTATGGGGCCACGAAAAGCTGTCCTGGGTGGGGGAGACGCATGCGAACTGCGCCACTGGGACCCTCGGTGGAGCTCCCTATGGGGCCACGAAACACTGTCCTGGGCGGGGGAGACGCATGCGAACTGCGCCACTGGGCCCTTAGGTGGAGCTCCCTATGGGGCTACGAAACGTGCGAGGGGTGCGCCGTGAGCAGAGGCAACGAGGGAGAGGAGGGCGGAGGGAGGAGGCAGCGGGAGGAGGAGGAGGAGGCAGGGAGACGCGGGGCACCGTCTCTTCAAAACGAGGACCCAACACCACAGGATGGTTGGGAACAAAGCCGGAGAGCCCCAAAGGTGGATCTTGGGACCCCCCCCCCATACCATATATATATATATGTATATGTATATGTATATGTCTATGTCTATGTATATATATATATATACACATATGTATGTATATATATATATACATATCGGAGGTGAGGGAGTGATATCGAAGTGGAACGGAGAGCCCCCCTACCGGGAAATCGATTCCGGTTTCGTGTTCGTGCGTGCCGCGCGCGCGGGCGAGGCGAAGCTGCGTGGGCGGGCGAGAGGAAAGTCTCCTGTGGCTTGGGCGCGGCCGGACCACATGTGCCTCTGCCTGGCGGCCGGTGGCGCGCGGTGTCCCGCCGGTGCCCCGCTGGTGTCCCGTCGGTGTCCCTGTGGCTGAGGCGCGGCCGGACCCAATGTGTCTCTTCCGGGCGGCCGGTGGCGCGCGGTGCCCCGCCGGTGTCCCGTTGGTGTCCCGTCGGTGTCCTTGTGGCTGAGGCGCGGCCGGACCAAATTTGACTCTTCCGGGCGGCCGGTGGCGCGCGGTGTCCCGCCGGTGCCCCGCTGGTGTCCCATCGGTGTCCCGTCGGTGTCCCGATGATGATGTGGATGATTATGATGATGGTGATGGTGATGCTGATGGTGATGATGGCGATGATGATGATGATGTTGATGATGATGTTGGTGTTGTGGTTGACGATGATGACGTCGATTGTGAAATCGATTGTGGGATCGATAGTGATACCGAATGCGAAGTCGATGATGCGATCGACAATGATATCGATTGCGAGATCGATAGTCAGATCGATTGTGGGATGATGATGGTAATGCTGATTATGATGATGATGGTGCCGAGTGAAAATTGCCGAGTGAAATCGATAAAGAGATCGATTGTGAGATCGATACTGAAACCGAATGTGAGATCGATTGTGAGATCGATTGTGAGATCGATGGTGAGATCGATAATAAAACCGAATGTGAGACCGATTGCGAGGTCGATTGTGAGATCGATTGTAAGATCGACAGCGCGGCCGAATTTGAGACCGAATGTGAGATCGATTGTGAGATCGATTGCGAGATCGCTAGTGAGATCGATCGCGAGATCGATCGTGATATCGCTAGTGAGATCGAATGTGGGATCGATTGTGAGATCGATAGCGAGATCGATTGAGTGAAACGTTGGTTCCCCCTCCCCCCCCACCTCCTTATCACCCGCAGGGTGGTCGTATAGGTATACGTAGATGTATGGGACTTTGGCATGTGCTTCTTTTCGGCTTTCCGGCGGTTCAAGGCGCCCAAGAGGCCCCAAACATTGCCCACGAGGCCTCCAAGATGGCCCCATGGCGACTCAAGAGGCCCCCAAGATGGCCGCAAAAGGCCTCCAAAACAGCCAATATGGCTTCCAAGACGGCCGAAATGACCCCAGTATGCATCCAATACGGCCCAAGATGCACCCAAGACGGCCTAAGATGGCTTCAGGATGGCCCAAATGGCCTCCAAGACGGACCGAAAAAAGGCGTCTAGGAGGTCTTCCAGAGGGGGCCCGAAGAGGCCAAAATCAGTGATTTTCCGATGGTGCGTGAAAGATGTTGGCGTTTTTTTTTTTTTTTTTTTTTTTTTTTTTTTTTTTTTTTTTTTTTTTTTTTTTTTTTTTTTTTTTTTTTTTTTTTTTTTCTTCTTTTTCCCTCCAAGGCACCCCGACGGCTCAACACATGCATGCCGCATCGTGGCTTTGGAGAAACGGTTGAGACAATTTCGCCTGTGTCGGCGTATGCACGATGACGCTATCAGTGATCATGTGCTGAAGGGAATAGCCCACGCCGTCTTTGCCTTGGTAGAGTGGAATGGGCACTTCCACCTGCGCATGCGTTTGTGCGAGATCACCAGTCACGCTCGCGCGTTGCAAAGAATAATCAAAGCCCCCGTTGTAGATGTCAAAGGGGAAGTACACATTCACCTGCACCGAGTGGCTGCACGGGCGTTCGACGTCAGAAGTGGTAAGTGCGCGAAGCAGCGGACATCTGGCAACCACTGCGCCGAACAGGATCATTCAAAACCAAATGCGAAGGGGGGCCGCCGTGCTGACTATGTGGGCCCAGTTGGCCTGGTGCGACGCGTGCTTCAACATTGGTAAGTAGATCGCCACCACGAGCCCAATGAGGAAGCACATCTGCACTTCGAGAGACAGCGTCGCAAGACGAGCTCTGTGAGCAATGCGTGAACGCCTCAAAACCTGGACAAGTGAGGGCTACTCACACGGCGAGCCGTGAGCCAGCAAAGGCGACGGACCTCAGGCATTTATTGTTGGGCGCGCTTTCGTGCGACTATCCAGGCTTGGCGCCCTGCACTTCAACCCTGCGGCGCAGGTGCGCATGCGCAATGCGCGCGTGCGTGGCCGCGCGCGCGATTGCGTCTGTTGCTTCTGCGCTCTAGCGCGCAATAGCACATGCCTAGCGGCGCGCGCAAGAGCAGCGCGCGCCCTTCGAGACACAAAGCCGCAGGCTGAGCTGGATGCACAATTTCTCGATATAGCTTAATCTGTATAATTGCCACACGTGCTGCCCCGAACCACAGAGAAGGCGACAGACCTCACCCGCGCGCGTTTGCACGTGCGCCCATGCGTACAACATGGCGTTGTTGCCTGGTGCCTTTGGATGCCCTGGGTTCCTGGGTTTGGGTTCCTGGGTTTCTCAGGTTCTGGGTTCTGAGGTTCCTGAGTTCCTTGGTTACGATTGGAGGGTAGGGCCTGCCGGCGTCCTTGGCCTTCGGAGACCTCGGGTTATCTTCGTTTCCCCGTGCTTGGAGTTGCTTTGGCTTGCTGCCGCGATGGCCCGCTGGTGGTAGTGGCCGTAGTCGCAGTCGCAATCGTAGTCGTAGCATTCGTTGTTGTTGTAGTCGTAATCGCTGTCGTAGCAGTTATCGTGGCACCAGTAAGAATCGTCGTGGTCATAATCGTTATTGCGGCAATCTCACTAGTGATGCTAGTCGTAGTCGTAGCCGTAGTAGTAGTAGTAGTAGTAGTAGTAGTAGTAGTAGCAGCAGTAGTAATAATAGTAGCAGTAGTAGTAACAATAGCTGCAATAACAGCAGCAGCAGGCGCAGCAGGAGGCAGAAGGCGGCATAAGAGCGCGGCTACCCAAAAGGGCATCGCAAAGTGCGATGCCCCTTTCTGCGCCACGAATCGCAGCGCCGTCCGTGTAGTCGCATGAGTAGTCGTAGTAGAAGTAGCACTGCTACTAGTGTTAGCACTAGTACTAGTCGTCGCGGTGGCCGCAACGTGAATGTAGTTGTATCAAGAGTAGCCGTTGTCGGAATGAAAATAGATCATAGTCGCGGTAGTGGTAGTAGTAGTAATAGTAGTAGTAGTAGTAGTAGTAATGGTATAGTAGTAGTAGTGGTGGTAGTAGTAGCAGTAGCAGTAGTAGAAATAGTACCAGTAGTAGTCGCAGTCGTAGCAGCAGCAGGTGCAGCGGGGGGGGCAGAAGGAGGCAAGCGGGAAGAGAAGATGAGGGACGCGGCCCCCCAGGGGGCACAGCAAAATGCGATGTCCCTTTTCTACCGCGCTGCGTGGCGCCGCTCGTTGGCTCTCCGCTGCACACAAGCTCGGGCCCCCCACAGCGCCGGCGCAGCCTCTTGTTCGCGGCACCTTCTGGCGACAAGCGTGCTTTCCACTGCCGCCACAACGGGCCGCGGGCGGGCGACCTGCGGCAGCGCCCTGCTGCGCGAGATGCCAATCGCACACGCCTGTCGTTACTGCGCGCCCGCCGCCCGTGCTCTTCGTAGCACGTGTGAAAAATATGCCAAGGGGGCCTTGTCGCGCACCAGGTTCTCGCACAGGTCCACCTTCGCCTTCGCGAGCGCTCTCTGCGCCGCGGCCCTCTTCTCCCCCCCCCCGTCGCACCTCTTTTTCTCATCGGGAGGAGACAGGCGCGGGTCGCGATCTCTGTCGTTACTGCATTTTAAAAACGTTTAACTGTGGCCGGAGTTACCGCCGCGATCCTGAAGGAAGCCGAGCTTCCAGCTCCTGGCCCCCTTCCAGGCGGTCTTCGCCTCGGCCTGCCAGGTCTTCGCCTCGCCCCGTGCGCTCTGGGCCTTCCGCGCGCGCTCGTCGGGGCGTCTCCTGCGGGCGAGCCACGAAAGGCAGGCGCCATCCAATGCCACGCAGAAGCGTCACGATTTGGAAACATAGTATATCACTCACGTGGTATATTGTGTTTCAAAATCGCGTCGCTTCTGCTTGGCATTAATTGGACGCTGGGTTGTGGCATGGTGTTTTTGCGTCGCATCATTGCATTCGAAGCGTCTTTTTTTCTTCCGGCGCTGCCCCGTCGCTATGCGGACCGCCGCGCGGACCTTCTCGAGGGCCGCGCGGCGGAAGGTCGCCGCCAGGTGCTTGGTCCGAGGTTGTTGGGAATAAGCTTGAAGCTTCTTTTTGGCTTGGCACCCCCGGTTCTTCTCCAGCTTCCGAAAGTGCGCCTCGGCGTCTTTCGCTGGGTCGCCCATGCTTCCGGGCAGTGGGGTTCTAACGGGGGCCAGAACCTAAACGCCTTTTTGTGTGCATGCGATTGCTTCCCGTTTCGTTGCTTTTCCACTCCACCCCTCCGTATCCCCCCCCATCCCCCCCCCCCCTCGCCCTCGCCCCCCCCGCCCTTTTCCCCCCCGTCCTCATCCTGCCCCTGCTCATTTTCCTCGCGAGAGGCTTGCGTGCAAGCGGCCGCAGCAGGCGATAAATATTATGAGGACGCCGCCAAATAAAGAACAATGAAGATGAATAGTGGCACGACGAAAAATGGAACTGATAATCAGAAGAATCATACGAATAATAAGAAGAATAACGCGAACAGAAGAATATGCATCACCATGTGGGGGGGGGGGGGGGGGGGGGGCAAGTTTCTTACGTTCCTGGGTTCCTGGGTTCCTAAGTTCCTGGGTTGTTGGGTCATGGGTGTCCTAGGTTGCTGTGTTATTGGGTTCCTGAAGTCTTTGATTCTTAGGTCCGTATGTTCTTAGGTTCCTGGTTTATTAGGTTCCTGGGTTTCTTAAATTCCTGGGTTTCTTGAATTCCTGGGTTCATGGGTTCCTAAAATCCTGGGTTCTTACGTTCTTGAGTTCCTGGGTTTCGCAGGGTCCTGGGTTCTCAGGTTCCTGAATTCCTGGATTATGAGTTTTCTGGGTTCCTGGGTGTTTGGGCCCCTGGGGTCTTAGGTTCCTGGGTTTCTTATGTTCCTGGGTTCCTGGGATCCTAAATTACTGAGTCCCTGAGTTCCCCAACTCCCTTCCCCTGGATCTGGAGAGGAACGGTGCGATGGGTTGCAGCGTCCACGATGGCACAACATGGTTCCGAGATATCGCCCAAATGCTTCAATGTTGCCTCCGAAGTGGCTCAGGATAGCCCAAAGGGGTTCATGGCGACTCCCCGTGAGCCTCCAAGACGCTTTAAGGCTGTCGTCGTCGTGTCCTTTCTCTTCTTTGGCGCCTGCGTCTTCGAACGCTCCACTGGGCGCGCATTTCCGGCGCCGTAGATGCCCCGACGAACTACGGAGCGGCCGAGGAGGGGCCACGAAGGGACCAGGAAGGGACCACGGAGGGACCACCGAGGAAGCATGGAGGGACCACGAGGAAACCACGGAGGGAGACCAGAAGGGACCAAGAAGGGACCACGAAAGGACCACAGAGGACCAAGAAGGGACCACGAAGCAAAATAGAATCCGATTGTAATCCCCCACAAAGGAAACCCTATTATAATTCTTCAATAAAAGGAATACAATTGTAATCCTCCGTGAAGAGAATCCCATTGCAATCCTCCGCAAATGGATTATCTTTGTAATCCTCCACAAACGGAATCCTATTGCAATCCCCCAGAGAAGGAATCCTAGTGTAATACTCCACAAAAGGAATCAGGTTGTAATTGCTCACGAAACGAATCCTATTGTAATCCTCCAAAGAAGGAGTCCTTTTGTAATCCTCCACGAAAGGAATCCTATTGTACTCCTCCACAAAAAGGAATCCTATTGTAAGCCTCCGCAAAAGGAATCCTAGCGTAATCCTCCACAAGAGGAATCCTACTGTAATCCTCGACGCAAGGAATCCTATTGTAATCCTCAACAAGAAAAAAGAATCCGATTGTAATCCTCCACAAAAAAAATCCGATTGTAATCCTGAAATCCAAATTCCAAGCACATCTGAAATTAGCCTGGCGAAGGACCCAACCATATGCAGTTGTGAGTACCGTCGTTGTGAGTATCGCAATCGGTGGAGATCCCTGTGGGCAGCGAAAGGCTGTCCTGGGTAGGGGAGACGCATGTGACTGCAGCAACTGTTGCCTTCGGTGGAGCTCCCTATGGGGCCACGAAGCGCTGTCCTGGGTGGGTGGAGACCCATGCGAACTGCGGCACTGGGGCTTTCGGTTGAGCTCCCTGTGGGGCAACGAAACGCTGTCCTGGATGGGGGAGACGCATGCGAGTGCAGTTGTGGCCTTCGGTGGAGCTCCACATGGGGCCACGAAGCGCTGTCCTGGATTGGGGAGACGCATGCGAACTGCGCCACTGGGACTTCGGTGGAGCTCCTTATGGGGCTACGAAAGGTTGGCCTGGGTGGGGAAACGCATGCGAACTGCGCTACTGGGGCCTTCCTGGGTGGGGGAGACGCATGCGAACTGCGCCACTGGGACCCTCGGTGGAGCTCCCTATGGGGCCATGGGGCCACGAACGTTGTCCTGGGTGGGGGAGACGCATGCGAACTGCGCCACTGGGACCCTCGGTGGAGCTCCCTATGGGGCCACGAAACGCTGTCCTGGGTGGGGGGGCGCATGCGAACTGCGCCACTGGGACCTCGGTGGAGCTCCCTATGGGGCCACGAAACGCTGTCCTGGGTGGGGGAGACGCATGCGAACTGCGCCACTAGGGCCCTCGGGGCCACGAAACGCTGTCCTGGGTGGGGGGGGCGCATGATAACTGCGCCACTGGGACCCTCGGTGGAGCTCCCTATGGGGCCACGAAACGCTGTCCTGGGTGGGGGAGACGCATGCGAACTGCGGCATTGGGACCCTCGGTGGAGCTCCCTATGGGGCCACGAAACGCTGTCCTGGTTGGGGGAGACGCATGCGAACTGCACCAATGTGGCCTTCGGTGGGGCTCCCTATGGGGCCACGAAACGCTGTCCTGGGTGGGGGAGACGCATGCGAACTGCGCCACTGGGACCCTCGGTGGAGCTCCCTATGGGGCCACGAAGCGCTGTCCTGGGTGGGGGGGACGCATGCGAACTGCGCCACTGGGACACTCGGTGGGGTTCCCTATGGGGCCACGAAACGCTGTCCCGGGCGGGGGAGACGCATGCGAACTGCGCCACTGGGACTTCGGTGGAGCTTCCTATGAGGCCACGAAACGTTGTCCTCCTGGATGGGGGAGACGCATGCGAACTGCGCCACTGGGGCCTTCGGTGGAGCTCCATATGGGGCCACGAAACGCTGTCCTGGGTGGGGGGGACGCATGCGAACTGCGCCACTGGGACTTCGGTGGAGCTTCCTATGGGGCCACGAAGCGCTGTCCTGGGTGGGGGAGACGCATGCGAACTGCGCCACTGGGACCCTCGGTGGAGCTCCCTATGGGGCCACGAAACAACGTCCTGGGTGGGGGAGACGCATGCGAACTGCGCCACTGGGCCCTTAGGTGGAGCTCCCTATGGGGCTACGAAGCGTGTGAGGGGTGCGCCGTGAGCAGAGGCAACGAGGGAGAGGAGGGCGGAGGGAGGAGGCAGCGGGAGGAGGAGGAGGAGTGAGGGAGACGCGGGGCACCGTCTCTTCAAAACGAGGACCCAACACCACAGGATGGTTGGGAAATATGGTTTTCTTCTTTTGTTTGTCCATCGCCCTGGCTTTTGCTATGCAGGCTATAGGGAGCTCTAATCCCAGGAATTCCAAACATTTGTTGTGGCCCCATAGGAAGCTCCACCGAGGGCCCCAGTGGCTGCGTTGGCATGACGGCACCGCACCCATTTCGGCACACCCCTCACACGCTTCGTGGCCCCATAGGGAGCTCCACCGATGGCCCCAGTGGCTGCGTTGGCATGGCGGCACCGCGCCCATTTCGGCACACCCCTCACACGCTTCGTGGCCCCATAGGGAGCTCCACCGAGCGCCCCAGTGGCTGCGTTTTTATATTATTATTATTATTATTATGATTATTATTATTCGTATTATTAGTATTAGTGTTATTATTATCATTATTATTATTATATTTATATATATGTATATATATATAAATCCTGGGATCAGAGGTTCCTATAGCTTGCACAGCAAAAGCCAGGGCGAGGAACAAAAAAACAAAAAAACAAGCATAACTCATATCTTAGGTATTTGGAAATTTGATTTCAGGATTACAATCGGATTCCTTTTGTGGGGGATTACAATAGGATTCTTCTTGTGGGAGATTGCAAGAGGATTCCTTTTGTGGAGGATTACAATAGGATTCCTTGCGCGGGGGATTACAATAGGATTCCTTTTGTGGAGGATTACAACAGGATTCCTTCTGCGAAACATTACAATAGGATTCCTTGTGTGGAGGATTACAATCGGATTCCTTTTGAGGAAGATTCCACTAAGATTCCTTTTTGTGGAAGATTACAATAGGATTCCTGTTGTGGTGGTTCCAATGGGATTCTCTTGAACCCGTATTATAATACGATTCTTTATGATGGGAATTACAAAGGGATTCCTGTTGGCGAGGATAACAATCTGATTTCTTCTAAAAACGATTACAATGGGATTCAATTTGTTGAGGCTTCAAAAAGAAACAAGTTGTAAACCGCCAAGAATCACCGTGGCTCTTTGCGCCCGAGCAGCAACAACCAAAGAAAAACAAAGCGGAAGAGCCCCAAAGGTGGATCTTGGGACCCCCCACATACCGGAGTGAGGGGGTGATATCGAAGTGAGGGGGTGATATCGAAGGTGAGGGGGTAATATCGAAGTGGAACGGAGAGCCCCCCTACCGGGAAATCGATTTCGGTTTCGTGTTCGTGCGTGCCGCGCGCGCGGGCGAGGCGAAACTGCGTGGGCGGGCGAGAGGAAAGTCTCCTGTGGCTGAAGCGCGGCCGGACCACATGTGCCTCTGCCGGGCGGCCGGTGGCGCGCGGTGTCCCGCCGGTGTCCCGCTGGTGTCTCGTCGGTGTCCCTGTGGCTGAGGCGCGGCCGGACCCAATGTGTCTCTTCCGGGCGGCCGGTGGCGCGCGGTGTCCCGCCGGTGTCCCGTTGGTGTCCCGTCGGTGTCCTTGTGGCCGAGGCGCGGCCGGACCAAATTTGTCTCTTCCGGGCGGCCGGTGGCGCGCGGTGTCCCGCCGGTGTCCCGCTGGTGTCCCATCGGTGTCCCGTCGGTGTCCCGATGATGATGTGGATGATTATGATGAAAATGATGATGATGGTGATGCTGATGGTGATGATGGCGATGATGATGATGATGATGATGATGATAATGATGATGATGATGATGTTGGTGTTGTGGTTGACGATGATGACGTCGATTGTGAAATCGATTGTGGGATCGATAGTGGTACCGAATGCGAAGTCGATGATGCGATCGACAGTGATATCGATTGCGAGATCGATAGTCAGATCGATTGTGGGATGATGATGGTAATGCTGATTATGATGATGATGGTGCCGAATGAAAATTGCCGAGTGAAATCGATAAAGAGATCGATTGTGAGATCGATACTGAAGCCGAATGTGAGATCGATTGTGAGATCGATTGTGAGATCGATGGTGAGATCGATAGTAAAACCGAATGTGAGACCGAATGTGAGGTCGATTGTGAGATCGATTGTGAGATCGACAGCGCGGCCGAATTTGAGACCGAATGTGAGATCGATTGTGAGATCGATTGCGAGATCGTTAGTGAGATCGATCGCGAGATCGATCGTGATATCGATAGTGAAATCGAATGTGGGGTCGATTGTGAGATCGATAGCGAGATCGATTGAGTGAAACGTTGGTTCCCCCTCCCCCCTCACCTCCTTATCACCCGCAGGGTGGTCGTATAGGTATACGTAGATGTATGGGACTTTGGCATGTGCTTCTTTTCGGCTTTCCGACGGTTCAAGGCGCCCAAGAGGCCCCCAACATTGCCCACGAGGCCTCCAAGATGGTCCCATGCCGACTCAAGAAGCCCCCAAGATGGCCGCAAAAGGCCTCCAAAACAGCCAATATGGCTTCCAAGACGGCTGAAATGACCCCAGTTTGCATCCAATACGGCCCAAGATGCACCCAAGACGGCCTAAGATGGCTTCAGGATGGCCCAAATGGCCTCCAAGACGGACCGAAAAAAGGCGTCTAGGAGGTCTTCCAGAGGGGGCCCGAAGAGGCCAACATCAGTGATTTTCCGATGGTGCGTGAAAGATGTTTTTGTTTTCCTCCAAGGCACCCCGACGGCTCAAGACGACGCAAAAGGCCCCCAAGATCGCCCAAAAGGCCTCCAATATGGCCCCATGACGACCCAATACGGCCCCAAGAGGGCCCCCAAACGGCCCAAGAGGCCTCCAGGACGCCGATGATGGCCTTTAAGAACCCCTGATATGCCCCAAGAGGGCCCCGAAACCACCCACACAGGCCCCCAAGACGGCTTCCGACGGCGCCAGGCAAACCAGGAAAGCCACAAGGCGGCCAAGGGGGCCCCCGAGAAGCCCTCAAAAGGCCCCCCCCGCAACCCCCCAAGAGGCCCCGGGGAGCTCCCAGGAGGCCCAAAAAGTGCCCCACGATGCGCCCAAGAGGCCTCCTCCTCCTCCTCCTCCTCCTCCTCCTCCTCCTCCTCCTCCTCTTCCTCCCCTCCTCCTCCTCCACCTCCTCCTCCAGCTCATCCTCCCCCCCCCCCCCCCCTCCCCCTCCCCGTCCCCCGTCCCCGTCCCCGTCCCCGTCCCCGTCCTCCCCTCCTCTCCCCTCCTCCTCCTCCTCCTCCCCCCCTCCTCCTCCCCCCCCCCCTCCTCCTCCTCCTCCTCCTCCTCCTCCTCCCCCTCCTCCTCCTCCTCCTCTTCCTCCCCCCCCTACTCCTATGTTGTCCTCATCCTCCCCGTTCTCTTCTTGCCCCCCCACGCGCCCCCCGAAGTCTTTCCAAACAGACACGGGGAACAACTGGCCTGATAGCTTGGCCAAGCTCTGGCACTGTTGTCGGCCGCAGAGGCGTTTCCAAAAGGGCAATGGGCGGCGGTGATTCGCCGCAAGCGTATATGCCCTCCGATTGCACACTTGGGTTGTCACCCGTTCCCCTTTGCGTGCACGGCCAACACTGAAAACGATTGAAAACGCCAGCCGCAAAAATCATGCTTGGCGGTGCGGGAGGGGCCGCGATTGCAAGGGGGCCCGGGGGAATCCTTCGCGAGCACGCGGCGGGCTGTCCAAGAGGGCCCCGGCGCGCCCCACACCGCGCCTCAAGGTGCCCACGACGGTTCTAAACACATAGTTTGACAGGCAATCGCCCGTTTCCCCGCGCGTGCCCGGCGAACCCGAGAGGGGGGAGATCCCACAAAGGAAGCTGGGGCGATAATAATTCAATCGAACGTTCGAGTAACGTCCAAGTAACGTTTGGCCTGCATGTTAAAGTAACGAATAGTTAACTGCATATGTATGTCGTCATTCCATGGGGTAACATTTCATGAGCCCTGCGCGCATGTCCCCCAGACACGGGCCAGACGCCGCGGCAGGCCTCACGGGGGCGAATCAGCTGGCAACAGGGCAGTGATTGCCAGAGACCGCCTGAGGAGTGAACCTGCAACTGGTGGAAGGGCGGGGGGGGCGGGCGAGGGAGGGGCAGGGGAGAGAGGGGGCGCGAAAGGCGATGCGAGGAGGTGGGCGGCCAAGCGAAGTCGATAGGGGGCCAGGAACCCAAAGGAGGGGGGGGAGGGAGACGGAGGGGGGGGGCACGGACGACGCAGTTGGCTAGGAATCGGATTCGGGAGAGCGGAGGCGGGGAGGCATGGATTTGAGCGCGCAGAACAGGACATGACATGATGGGGATATGAGGAGGCATGAGGAGTCCAACTCAGGCGCCAGCGCGAAGAATGGTAAAATAAGTCGAGAGGGAACAAGAGGGCACAGGAGGGGGTGGGAGGAGTCGGGATGGGCGAGGGCTGGGAAAGCTGGGCAAAAGACGTGGACGGTGAAGGAAACCACACACCTGAGAAAAGGCGACTGAGGATGACGGGATGGTCAGATTCTCTCGCGGTCCTGCTGCCGACTCTGCCGGCGGGAATGGCGGGCTGCTCGAAGCCGAGATCATCTTCCTCACTGCGTGCCTCCATCCCCGCGCCCCCATCTCCCCCCCCCCCTCCACTCCCCTCCGCCAGCCACCCCCCAGTCTGCCAGCCGCCGCGCCCAAGCTCGGCGCGGCCTGAAAGCGATTCGATCGGCTACCGCTCCCTGGCCAGGGAAGCTCCGACTACGCGCGCGGGGCAAAGGGCCCCAAAACGAGAGGAGGGACCTTTGGACACGCGTTCTTCCCATGCCCGTGGGGGGGGGGAACGCGGGCGAATGCGCCGGCCGACCGGCGCGCGCGAGGCCTTGCAACAACTGATCTCGACATCGAGCCTCTCGAGGGCGACGAAAACACTGGTTGCACCCCATTGCCAATGCCTCCCCTTCTGTTGGACTTCAACCCTAACCCCCGACTTCCGTCGCTCTCGGATCGCTGGCGCGCGCGCCCAGCGCCTGGGGGCCCCCCCGCCGGCAAACCGCAATCGGCGCTACTGTGAGGCCCCTGGGCTGGCCGGCGCAGCCGAGCAGCATCACCTGCCGCTCGAAAAGGGGGCCCGCGACCAGATCATGCATGAATTAGCGGCCCATCCAGAACTTCTGCGTCGGGGCGTGGCTCTCGGGGTGCAACGCCTCGCCCTCCTTGGCGCCGCCCGTCCGCTTCGTCCTCAATTCCTTGATCTCGGAGATCAGGGCAGTCCTCAAGAGGTCGGCATTCTTCTCGCTCGTCATCTTCATCGCGATCGAAGCTTCGCCCTCGGGTGCAGCTACTCCGCGCAACAGCCCCCGCAGTCCCAACAAGGCTAGCGTCGGCCTCGACGGAGGCCCACTTGCAGGCCGCCCTATACTCCGTGACCTCGTGGGACAGCAGTTACCAAATCAGCCAGGGCGTTCCACTGCATCCCCTTGGTCGCCTTCTTCATGATGTCGGACAGCTGGATGAGCGTCGTTTGGCCAACGATCTCCTCGGACCACGGTTTTCCTGACAATGTCCCACACTGCGCGATGGCCAGCTCTTTGCACGTCGTCCCCAAGGCCATCTTCTTGTCACGAACGTACTCAGTGCCAACCTGCGAGCTGAAACCCGAGGCCCAGTCGACGTTGCTTTCGAACTCAGCCCGCGCATCTAAATCGAGGTACTCCACCTGGCCCAACTCGATGGTCTTCATGGCCTGCACAGCCCTCGACCCCAGCGCGAGCATCATGCCCCGGCCACCCTCCGACTTGACGACGCCCGCAGCCTCGCCAATGGCCTTGATCGCCAAGCGCTGCTTCAGTAAAGAACACGCCACTGCAACGACCTCCAACCGACAAGGCGGGCTCGGGGCTGATCCCCAGCAACGACCTCAAGGTCGCCAGCCAGGAGTCCCATGACTTATCGCTGCGGTGCGTTTCCATGACAGCGATGAGCAACTGCTGTGCACGGGAAGCGTTCTCGACCTCTGCCTTCTCCTTCAAGGAAACCCCCTCCGAGTGCGCGCACGCGTCGGCAATGGCAGTCACCACCTGGTCGAACTGCTCGAAATTGATCTCGGAGACGGAGTCCCCTTGCTTCCAGTCTGGCACCAGTAAGGCACGCATGCTGAGGAGGTTCCCGCGGCGGTCCACTATGTCAGCATGCTGAAGCACCACTGCGAACTTCCGCTGAAGCTCGTTCACCTCGCTATCCATGGGGAACGCCACGTTTGCCTCGGTCACCAATGAGCTCACCATGTTCAGCTCCTCCATTGAGGGGATGGGGGCCTTCGCCCAATCGGTATCGACGAACTCGTTGATCTTGTCAACGACTGCGCGCTTCAAGTCGGCGCCCATAGACTTTGTCTCGGCAGGCATCCCCGCAGACCACATCGCGAGCTTCTCGCGCGCGCTACTCAGGTCTTTCCATGTACATTCGCCGTGGCCCTTGCTCAAGAGGTCCTTGGCAGCCTTGATGGCAGGCAGCTGCTCCTTCGCAAAGGGCAAGGCGCGCTGCATCACCTCGATCTGATTCGGATAGTAGGGGGGCCCATCAAGGCCGCCGCAATGACATGGCTCAAACAGCTGCCCGACTTCCCGACGTACTGGCAGAACCGCTCGATCTCCTCCGAGATATCCAAAATGGTCGCGCTCGCAGCCGGCTGCGCGATGTGTCCGAGCACCCTTGCGACGTCCACGAAGCCAAGGGAAAACTCAACAACGAAGTCAGACGACACGAGGTAGCCCACACCCTCGAAGATAAGAAGGCAAGCATTCAGGATCTGTCCGATCACCGAGGCAGATTCACAACCCTCGGAGATGGCCCTGCAGATGTGGTGGTCACGATCCTGAAGAACTCTGCGGGTTTCTCTTTGTCGGGCAAGTCCGTAGAACTCAGCGCAAGTTTGAGCGGGTCGAACTTCGAATGGCCAACCAGGCTTGCCACGCGAATGTGCTCCACCGCTTCGTGGCTGATGCCCGGGCCCTCGGGCGCCAGGGAGACCAACTTCAGTGGAAGACGCGGCTGCCGTCCTCCACGACCTGAGCGACCAGCTCCAGCGCATCATCCCACGACTTCGCTTGCAGGTCTTCAGCTCGAAGGCCCTCAGCCGCCTGCGCGAGCCCCTCGAAGACTGACAGGTCCGCGGCGTCCGACTTGGTAATCTCGTTGGCTGCGAGCCTCTTGATCTTCGTCAGCAGCCTAGAGACTGCGCGGCCGTCAACCGTCCCAGCCATGACGTCGGCCAAAGGAACGTGGTCCTTCCACTTCTGCGGGAGACCGGCGCAAACAACATCGCCCCCGTCGTCCATCCCCGTATACATGGAGCTGGCGCCGTCGCTGGATGTCTCCCCTGTACAGCCCCCACTGCCGCCGCTTGTATGTCCCGCAGATATCGGCTTGGACGGCGCCCTGAAGTCCCCCGTCGAGGTCCGCTTAGGCGCCGAGGAAGGTGGAGGCATGGATGCAGCAACTCCAACCAGAAGCTCATCAGGATCACCACCAATGTTCATCAAGTCTACTGGCTGCACGCCGTCGTCGTCCGACTTGGGCTTCTCGCCCTTCTCTCTCTCCAAGAAGCCCGCGCACGTCTGCAAGCCCTGCCCTTGCCTGCCGTCTAGCTCGGCCGCGAGGGCAAACAAACCTTTACCTTCCACGGGCCCCTCGAGCGATCTGATGACCGCGTCCTGGCCCTGCGTCTTGTAGATTTGCTTCGCGGACTCCAGAACGTTCGTGGCCATCGTGATCTTCCCGGCAAGGCGCGAGGGCCCCAGCTTGCCCCCATTGGCGGCGCCGCCTAACTGACCAGTCGAGCCACAGCCCGATGGGTCGGGTGCCTTGAAGCAGTAGACCGCATCCGCATTGCCGCTGTCGTCGGCACGCCCCATTGAAGTCAATGGCGTCAGAGTCCGCTTTAAGGAGACGGGGTGCATTAAGATCTCTTTGCAGCTCGCTCTCAGAACGAACTTCAACTGGCCTGGCAAAGTCGAAAGCGATCTCGGTGACGTCCGGGACTGCCACGGTGGCGAACGTCGAAAGCCCCCTCTTCAAGGTGGCAGACGCATCGGTGACGCTCGCAACCGCGCGCTCCTCGCCAACCTTGCACATGCCCTTGATGGCCCCCACGTCGCCGTCGCCGCTGACGGCCTGGGCAGCCAGCCAGCAACGCGTGCAAGCATCCTCTAATTGAACCTTGTGCTTGCCCTTCGCCGCCTTGCACAACGCCCACTCAACGCCATCGTCCTGGGGAACGCCCCTCCCTCTGTCTCAAACGCGATCGGCCTCGCGAGGGCCTCGCCCCGACGGGAAAGAAACGCTGCAACTTTCAATGGCCCCAGGGAAATAACATACCAAACTGGTGATTGGCACGCTATGTCCCCCTCTTCGGCTCGGTGGTGTCAGACGCTGCCCTCCGACCTCCCTCTCCACCACCGCCTCATCCAATCCGCCCCTCCCCCATTCGCATTCCACCATCCTCGTCCCTACTCACCTTCCCTCGCCCCCCCCCTTTCGGACTTCGGGCCCCATGTCATCGGCTGCCGCGCCGCAGCAGAAGCGCGCCAGGACACCCCCGAACGCTTCGGCGACTGAGGTGGCGCCCTCGGCTGCTTCTTGACTGGCGACTCGGGCGGCCCCTTGCTAGCCTAGCGATTGGGCGCAGCAGGCTTGGTAACAGCGCCTCGCTTGGCCATTGCAGCGGGCGCAAGCGCGCGGCCTGCGAGGGCCCAGGGGGAGCTGCAGGGAAGCACCTGAACGACAGCGGGGCCAAAGCCTCGAAGCCGAGACAGCGGCGCCACGACGCGCGCCCCAACCGACGCCGTCAGCCATGGAGCTCTCTCGGGCGCTCTTAGATCTTAGAGTGGGCGAGGCGTAACGGAGCAAGCCCTGACGCGGCCTAGCTGGGGCCCTCTGCGAGCCCCCATTGGGGCAACGTTCGGACCGACTTGGGGTCGCGCCACGGGGCCCTCCAGGAGCCATGAGAGAGCCCCAGCGGCTGCTGGGGGCCCCCAGAAGGTCCCATGCACGCCCCAAGGAAGCTTCGAGAGCGGGCCAAGAGGTCATTAAAGCAACACTTGCTTGAATCCGCTGGTGATGACACCTGTTGGGCCTCTCTCGGAATGCCTCTGCGTACTCTCGCAGGGTGAGATTGGAAGCCTCCTTCGGCACCTGGCCTACCTGGGATCCTGGGATGATTCCGAAGGCTCGCAGGCGGCACCGAGAAGACTCTAATCTAAGAGGGGCCCAGGAACGCCCCAAGAGCGACCCAACAGGTCTTTAAAGCAGCACTTGCTTTTGCAATCTGGCGCCGGCACCCGTCGGGCCCAGCTCGGAACGCCTCTGGTGTCTCTCTTGAGCCCATCTTCAACCTCGCGAGCGCGCGGAACGGATTCGGTCACTTCGCGGCCAAATCCTTTCCTGCCGCCAGACTGCCCCCAGCCCCGAAGTCTTCGACTCCTCTCCCTCCCCACCCCCCCCACCCTGCCGCCCCGCCCCCCCCTTGCCCCCCTCCTCCCGGGGGCCGCGAACGTGCGAGGAAGACCTCAATGGCAACAGCCCCGACGCAACATGACCCCTCGCCGCTCGGACCCGCCAGGGCCGCGAGAACGGACCCCGGGCACCAGGGGGGGTTCGCGCGCGGCCACTGGAAAGCGAAGGACAACCGAGAGACCCGGGCGCGCTGAGACGAGCCCAGCCGACCTTCCCCAATACTGGCAGGGGCAAGATGTCACTTTTGAAAATTACTTTTCAGACCGCCGACCTACTTCGGAGTTACTTCGAAAGCTACTTTTCGTAGGCCCATCGCCTCGGCGACGCCCCCTGTGCCCCCGCGGCCCTGAAACCAACGACAAGTAACACAGAAGTAACGACAACTAGCAAAAAAGTAACGACAACTAGCTCTGGGCAGCGGGCCCCGAAACTCAAACACGAACCCAAAACCTACGACAAAATGACTCGAAACTAACAAAACAATATCAAACAACTAGCTGTTTCTCGGTTTTGGGCGCTTCTGGGGGCTAGGGGCTGGGGGAAGGTACAACGATCAACACAATAATTAAAACTAGCAAAGAACTACAGAAAAACAAAAAAAATCCCAGGAATCGGCCCCAGGGCCCAGGAATCCCAGAAAGTAACTGCAAGGAAGTCTCCTGGGCTACTTCCTGCAAGAGGGGTGGAGGAGGATAGGTGTCGATTGCTTGCCCGATGCACCCCAGCTGCATCGGGCAAGTCAGAGGATGGCCGAGCAGGTCCAGCGGCTCAAACCCCCAACAGCACATGGCGCGCTGCTCCCGCTCATTCTCGAACAAGCCTTGCCGTCCCCCTGCAAGGACACCAGGCCCCTCTGGGCCTCGCGGACAGCCAGCGGGCCCAACTTATCCTGCAAGTCGGCCTTGTCCTTATGATCAGCTCTGCTGCCCGCGTCGTGCGCCAGGCTGAGCCACCCCGCCAGGAAACCCACGGGTCGGCCTGCCCTGGCGGTCCCATCAGGCCCATCAAAATTCTTGTTGGGAGTCCGTCGCACGATGCACCTGCCATGGGCTCGGTTAGGACACACCGTCTCGAAATTCGAGTACTGGGAAAAAACACTGCCTGCCCCCATGAATCCTGACCGTTGCGTCGGCGGCCACGGTCTTCGCCTGGGGGGCACCAAGCTCAGGTGGAAGTGAAGCGGGCTCGGCTGGGGCTGGAACGGGGTCTGCCCCTCCGTCGCCACCTGCAGGAACCGTAGCGACACCGTCATGTCCGTCAGCACCGTCTCCGCCTGGGCCATGGCGGACGACTGCGGGGTCGCCGTCGATCTGCCCGCTACTCTCCAGCAACTCCACCACCAAGCGGTCAATCCCACCACCGCCGGCAACGCCGTCGTCACGGCCCCCTGCAAGGCCATCGCCGTCGAACGCGCCAGCGATGGGCAATGCATCTTTCGCATCCTCCAATGCGCCTCCGCCTCTGCCCCCAACTCCACCGCGGCCGCGTCCACCGCGGCAGCGGCCATCTGCCCGCGGCGGGGGCCGCGCGGCCTGGGCATCGTCGCGGCCGCCGAGCGGGGGGAGAGGCGCGATCGAGAAGTCAGTGGAGATGATCGGCGCGGGCGCCGACTCGAGCTCGGACCATCGAATGCCCCGCTCAGGCCTGTCGCCCAACGCCCTCAGCGCCTTGGGCGGCGTCACGCGCCTCTCCCCGACGACCTGCGCATAGACCCGCCTGGGGTCCCCTGGGAGTTCTCCCGGGTCAGGCACGCGCCGCAGAACTTGAAAAGTCGGCACGTAGGGCGACCGATAATGCAAGCCGATGTGGAGCCAAATATCAATGGGGCCCATGCCAAGCACCCCATCGCCAAGCGAGCGAACAACAACCATGCCATCATAAAGTTAAAGGCGCTCTGGAGAACCTTTCTTGGCCACGGACTGCACGATAGTAAGGAATCGGAACGCGCGCGGGGCCGAGCGTCTGCCAGCGCCTGTGCGCGCGCAGGACTCAGCTCGTTTACACATCGATTCAGACTGAGGTGGTGGTCGGCCGCCAAGCTTCACCCCCTGGGAGTCCAATGCTGCGCTGCACGTGCTGACCCACTGTGCCTCGAGCGCCGCGCATATCGACGTTGCTTTCGCTTGCGCGCTCGCCCAGCCAAGAGCGGCGCCGACAACCTCGCGCATGTCAACCGACGGCTCGAAGCGCGTCATCTTACCGGATAGCGGCACGGCGGCCCAGTGGGCCGCGATCCCACCGCGCTGCCCACCTGCTGTAGCATACTGGTCCACTGCGCGCACCCCAATATCATCTGGATACTTGCGTAATTCCGAAAACTCAACATCCCTCAACGTCGCCTCAACGATCGACGCGCTCCGCGTCACCCGACGGACTGCAGCTGCCGCCTGCGACGGTCCACCTGCGGAAGCCAATGTCTGGATCATGTCTGCCCTCGTCGCTGGCTGGGCGTCTACGGCCCGACGTCCGTCGCGGGCTCTGCGCCCCCGAAGTCGCGCGCCATTTGCACCGGCAAGAGAGGGCCCAAATCATGACCCAATAGCGCCGTGCCTGTGAGGTACCGTTGCCGCCGCACAGAAAATAATCAAGCGTGCTCGCCCCTCGTCGCTCAGTTCCCGGCACCTCGCGCGGGCAGTCGCCACCGTAGTAAACTTGCCGCGCCGCTGGACATGATGTCGCACGAAGGCCCTGCAAGCACCGCCCCCTCCGCGCCGTCGCTGCCTCATGCCGGGTCGCCGCCTGGCCCCCCATGCAACCCGATGTAAATGTCTTCCAAGGCGTCGCTGTCATTCGTCGTCTCCTCGCGCGCATGCGCGCCCACTCCGAGTTGAGGCCCTCGAAATCCACCAAGTGAGTCTGACGCGATCTAGTCGCCGAGAACCTGCTAACTGTTGCAACGCAGCTCTCGGTGCGACTGTTATCCTTCCTCCACTTCCAAACGACCTAAATCAACTTCGCAAATCAGACGTCGTCGTCCAAGGCCGGGTGGTCAGTGATCATCTTCTGCGCCCAACCGGCAAGCAAGCGCGCGTCGGCCCTCGCAACCTCTGGACCCAACGCGGGGTCATCAAGTACCTGAAACATGCGAAACGGACGGCTCCTGCGCTCGCGCGATATCTTGCACTCAACGGCGCAACCTACCCTCCCGAACAAAACGGACGCCAGTGCACGAAATTCAACAAGACGGCAATCGTCGGGCAGAATATTCCAAAATATCGGGTTCTTGTTAAGGGCGTTGGGTTTGACCGCGCACACTTCCTCAAGACCACCGCGGGCGATGGGCTGGACTGGGAACTCCCTGATCGTCATGTCTCTACTTCCCCTCGCCAACGCTCCCGCGGCTTTCGCCTGCTCCGCCTGCCCCCGCTGCACAAAATGACGGGGGAAATTCAAATCGGCAGCCCCCTCCAAGCACTGCGTCGCTGACCTCGCGAGGATCTGCAAGCCAAGCGGAAACTTCTCCGACCAACAACCTGCCCTCTGTCTTCGGGCGGCGTTCTCCTGAGCCCTGGAGCCACCGCCGTCGGCGTCGTCGCCCCCATGAAGTCCCCCTCCCACATCAGATGGGCCGACGTCGCAGATGGGCAGCGCATCCAAGAAGACCCGTGGGCGCACCGCAGTGACGTCGCGCACGTTGGCAGCCAGCCCACCTCGCGATCTCACCTTCGGGGCCTGCTGACCCCTCACCTCCAACACCTTCCTGTAGGCATGGCCGAAAACGCCGTGCACGGCGAAGCCGATGGCGGACTCGTCGATCGAAGCCTCGGCGCCCGACCACTTGTCAGACCTGAGCGTCGAAGGTCTTGACGAAGCCAGCGCCGCGCTCAACGCAGAAGAAAGCATGCGTGTAATCGTGTCCCTGTCCACATCCCTGCCATCTGCCGCAGGCCTGAATAATGCTGCGCTCGGTCCGTGCCCCTCCAATCGCCATTTGGAAACTGCGAAAGCAAGACCCTCTGCAAATGCCTCTCCTTGGCCTTGGCGCTGCTGAAGAGCATCTTCATGCGGTACCTGTAAGAAGCAGCCTCCTGGCGGCGCAGGCCGCGGCGAATGCCCAGCCTCTCGCGCACCTCGTCGTCCGCGCACAACTTGCAACACATGGGGCCGCTCGCCGCCTGCGCCGACTTCGAGAAGGCCACCCGGCCACAAAGTACACGCCTAAAGCGACATAAACCTTATCGCAACACGTCGGCGCGCGATGGCTCGAGCACCCTGGACAAGACGCATACCCGGTGCGCCGAGCACTCTTGACGATGGCCTCGCTCGTCGGGTTCGACGCGTGGTCGTCCGCGGTGGCGCGCCTGACCCTCGACTGGAACCTATTCGCAACAACTGCAGCTCCACTGGACCTGGGAACTGCTGATGCAATTGTCGACGCAGCAGTGGACTCGACGACGGCCAGCGGCGGGGCCCGTGAATGAGAAAACACACGGAGAGCAGCCCCGACTTTCGAACCAACGCGGTCGCGGAACTCAGCACCGGCAGCATCTTGATTTTAGTGGCCGACTTCTTTTCCACAATGGCCAACTGCATGTTCTGGGGGGTCGCCGAATTCAAAAGCCGACTCCTGTGCTCGACCGTCTGGCGCGGGATCGCCCGACTGAAGTGGCTTGTCAACAAACGCAGCCGCATCCATCGAAGTCTCCTCATAATAGAAGGTCTCGTTGTACATCAAAAGGTCCTCAGACTTCTGGCCGCGGGTCGCGGGCTGCTCGACCAGGGCGGGCAAGCGCGCGCCTGTCCAGGGGCGCCGCGGCGGCCGCCGCCAAGCGAAGAGACCGCATGAACTTCCAGCGGTCAACGTCGAGGGCCGAAGACGACGCCGACGTGGTCTGAAGTGGCCTGGCCCTCTCATCCAGAACGTGGCGAACACACTCGACGATGTCGGAGCCGAGCTCGTCCTGCCCAGCACGGCGCCCAGGCCCCCGCGCGCCCAGCAGCGCAGGGGTCACTGGGTCTGCGCTCATGCACGGGCCCAGTCGCAGCACGTCCACGACCAGCATGCCGTCGCGCTTGGGTGCCTCGGCGCGCCCGCGGAGCTCCTCGAAGCTATCCTGCAGCAGGCGCAGGGGCGGCAGCTCGGCGCAGGGGGGCGCCAACGCCTCCGACTCCGCCGGCGCCGCGGCAGGCCCCGCGAGGGCCGCGCCCAGCGCGCGCTCGCGGGCAGGCGCGACGACGACCCCGACGACGACGACGACTGCAACGACCGCGACGAGACCTGACATGCAATCCAAACCTCGACGGCAACGACAAAAAAGTCTCGAGGCGCCCAGGCCACCACGGTGGAAACGCACTAAGGAAACGAACCAATCCTGGAATGCAACGGAACATGCAAACGCACGGTCCAACAAGACAGACCATATCAATTAACCGACCCACGCTACATGATACGCAAAAGTGGGGGAGGACGCGGTAGCGCCGCGAACTGCGCAAGGGGGGGGGATCACCATCCCCCCGCCCCTTGCGCAGTTCGCGGCGCCACCGAAGCCGTCGCCAACGTCGCCAACGTCGCCGTCGCCACCGCCGACGCGCCTCCTGGGAGGCCGCCCGCGCCGCCGCCGCGCCGCGGGAGGCGCCGACGCCGCCTCCGCGGCCGCCTCCGCGGCCGGGGTGGCGTCGACGAACTCGCCTTCCCCTTGGGGCGGCTCGGGGGAACTCAATCCTCTTCCTCCTCATCCTCGTCGTCGCACCCCCCCCCCACACCTTCTCCTCGTCGCCCTCCCCCGCCGCCCTCCCATTGCTTCGTCCCCGCCCCCCGCGCCCCGCTCTCAGCTGCTTTTCTCCTCCTCCTCCTCCTCCGCCGTGCGCTGCCTGCTCCTGCGGCGCCGCCGCGTCTGCCAGGTCGCCCCGGCCCCCCGCGGCGGCCCAACCGGCGGGCCGCCGACTCCTCAGCCCCAAAGGCGGCGCGCGAACAGCGAAGGGCGTGGGCAGGAATACAGGGCAACGATGCAGCCTCCCGCAATATCTCCTCCGCCATGGCACATGCATTCTGCGCTGCGCGTGCGTGCTTGTGCGCGTGTGCGCGTGTGCGTGCGTGCGCGTGCGTGGCCCTTGCTTGCGTGCGTGCGCGTGTGCGCATGTGCGCGCGTGGCGGACGGCTGCGCGCGCGCGCGTGGCCCTTACTTGCGCGCCGCCGCTCCTCAGCATTCGGTCTCCGCCGCCCCGCTCACCCCCTCCCCAGTGCCCCTTTCTTCCAGGCCCATACCTTGATATTCAATTCCGCAGGGTCCATTTCGCTAACCCCCTCTCCTCAAGTAGCCCCGATCCCCCCCCCTTCATGCACGCCCCCGCTCACACGCGCGCCCCATCGGCTTTTCGGGCGCGGCAACTCCCCGTAGCGAAACCTGCAAAACATCACGTAACACTTACTGCGCAGTCGTTCCCTATGGTTCATTCACTGACTTCGCTAGTTACTGGAATTTCCGCGGACGCGCGAGAAGTTATTGTTGCGGGGGCGCTAACCGACTGTAAGGTGTTAGTTTTGCTGTTTTCTCGCGGGGTGCGTCTTCGTTACTTACATGTCATTTTGTTTTTTTCGCGAGATCGCTGGGCTCTCTGGGAGCCCAACATCTCGGCGGCGAACGCTGCGAATTACCTTTTTCCATAGAAAGTTCGAACGACCTCCGCAATGCCCCGAACGACCGCCTCCTGGCCCTCCGATAGCATCGTGGGCAACCTTTGCCAACCCATTCCCACGTCTCTGAACGCTTGTTCTCCGCCCTGAACGCCCCGCACCTCGCTCCAAGACGCCCGCGACGGCTCCGAAACGTGATTCGACATACGCCCGCCGTCTGTGGACGCGGGTTCTCGTTTGTTTCCACGTGTCCGCGCGGAAGATACTGAGAATGTCAACCGCAGACATCACTATTGGCGGTGCGGGCGGTGCCGCGATTGTAGGGGTGCCTGGGGGAATCCTTCGCGACGCCGCCTGACCCCCCTCGCTCCAAGACGCCCACGACGTCTCCAAAATGAATTTTGACAGACACCCGCCGTCTGCAAACGCGGGCCATCCCCCGTTTCCCCATGCGTGCACGGCGAACGCTGAGAATGAGGTCCGAAGGTCCGCCGGCCCCCTTGTGGGGCCACCAGGCTGCAGGCGCGGGATTCGCAGTTTCCTGTGCCTGTTGTAGCTTGTAGTTTCCAGTGTTACAGATCTGCTTCTTGCTGGTTACTGTAACTAGTTGATTGACCGCGCGAGGGGGGGGAAAACCCAAACCAAATATTTCGCACCTCCTGGGCGCGTTGTCTGAATTGCTGGGGAGCTCGAAATCGACACCCCTCACGCAGATCGGCGGGGTCAGGGTCCAAAAACACATGGGATTTGCCACATTTCTGAAATTCGGTGCCACCCCTCATTCAGATCCGCGGGGTCAGGGTCCAAAAACACATGAAATTTGCCACATTTCTGAAATTCGGCGCCACCCCTCACGCAAATCCGCGGGGCCAGGGTCCAAAAACACATGGGGTTTGCCACATTTCTCAAATTCGGTGCCACCCCTCACGCAGAACCGCAGGGTCAGGGTCCAAAAACACATGGGATTTGCCACATTTCTGAAATTCGGCGCCACCCCTCGCGCAGATCCGCGGGGTCAGGGTCAAAAAACACATGGGATTTGCAACATTTCTGAAATTCGGAGCCACGCCTCACGCAGATCCGCGGGGTCAAGGTCCAAAAACACATGGGATTTGCCACATTTCTGAAATTCGGTGCCACACCTCACGCAGATCCGCGGGGTCAGGGTCCAAAAACACATGGGTTTTGCAACATTTCTGAAATTCGGCGCCACCCCTCACGCAGATCCGCGGGGTCAGGGGATTTGCCACATTTTTGAAATTCGGCGCTACCCCTTACGCAGATCCGCGGGGGCAGGGTCCAAAAACACAAGGGATTTGCCACATTTCTGAAATTCGGTGCCACCCTTTGCACATCCATCGCAAGGCGTGGTAACCCAAACTGCAAGAACTCCCTCGGCCCTTTAATCGCAAGGTGTGGTAACCAAGCCCGTAAACCATACACGTCTTACCAATCGCCAGGTGTGGTAACCCCTCTTGTGATCAGTTGGTTTTGCTGATTGCGAATCGGCTTCGCATGAAGTTTCGATACTGCTTCACGACAGCGCCAAGGCCTCATGACTTAGCTCTTCCATGGCCCATTCTCCGAGAGAGGGGGCCGGCGGCAGGGGGCGAAGCCCTTACGGATAATTTCAAAGAGCCCCCGCAAGGCTCAGAACTGCCGCCTCCTGGTCCTCGAGAGGCCTCCCTCGACAGCATCGCTCTTTCACCCCCCCCGCATCTCGTTCCAAGACGCCCGCGACGGCTCCAACACGTGTTTTGACAAATGCACACTGTCTGTGAAAGTGGATTCTCGTCCGTTTCCCTATGCGCGCACGGCGAACACTGAGAATGCCAGCCGCAGAACTCACTATTGGTGGTGCGGGTGGTGCCGAGATTGCCCGGGGGCCTAAGGAAATCCTTTGCGAACGCGCGGTAGACTGTCCAAGACGGCCCCGGCACGCCCCGCATCTCACTCCAAGGCGCCCACGACATGTCCAAAACACACTTTGACAGATGCCCGCCGTCTGCAAGCGTGGGTCATCACCCATTGGGTCATCAACCATTTCCCCATGCGTGCACGGCGAACACTGAGGAGGAGGTCCAAAGATAATTTCGAAGAGCCCCCGCGAGGCTCGGAACAGCCGCCTCCTGGCCCTCGAAAAGCTCCCTTCGACAGCATCGTGAACAGTTTTTCCCAACAAGTGTTCCACATCTCTGAACACTCTGTCCCGCCCCAAACGGGTCCCGACACGCCCCGCATTTCGTTCCAAGACGCCCACGACGGCTCAAACGGTATGTTGACGAATGCCCGCCGATTGTGAAGGTGGGTTCTCGTCCGTTTCCCCATGCGCGCGCGGCGAACACTGCGAAAGTCAACCGCAGAAATCACGATTGGCGGTGCGGGCGGTGCCGCGATTGCTGGGGGCCCCAGCAGAATCCTTCGCGAGCGCGCGGTGCATTGTCCAAGAGGGGCACGCCCAACGCCGCGCCCCAAGGCGCCCACGACGGCTCCAGAAACGTATTTTGACAGATACCCGCTCTCCGTAAACGTGGGTTCTCGCCCGTTTCCCCATGCGCGCACGGCGAACATTGAGAATGCCAGCCGCAGAAATCACGACTGACGGTGCGGGCGGTGCCGCGATTGCGGGGGGCCCTGGGGCACTCCTTCGCGAGCACGCGGTACACCATCCAAAAGGGCTCGGCACGCCCCGCACCTCGCTCCAAGACGCCCACGACGGCTCCAAGACGGCCCCCGGAACCCCGAAAACACTCGACGAGAACCCCGCACAACTTCCCAAGAGGCTTCCAAGGGCCAACTCCGTCAATGTCCCACGAGTTGAAAACGTATTTTGGGTTCCCGCCTTTTCTGCTATCACGAGCTTCTTTCAGCCCCGGGCGTTGCCACGACCGCGCCACAACGGTCCCAACGTGCCACCACACAGGCGCCAAAGAGGCACTCAGGAGCAACACGCCACAACCGCCAGTCACCCAAGGAGTCGGCGGGGTGGCGTAAGCCCAAGAATCTACAGAGGGCTCCATGGCTTCACGCGGGAGTCCTGTCTGGTTTCTCGATTCCTCAATGTCCACGTGCCGAACTTCGCCTTGGGATTGAACGCACACTTTCACAGTTCTGGAGTTCCCGCTGTAAGGAACAAGCATCGCATCCAAGGAGCAGCCATCAGGATGTTCAAAGGTGGCCAAGCTAGATTTGAAAACGCCGTCGGTTGCGCATGACAACATGTCATCCAACCTTGCGCGATCCTCTGGAACAAGAACACTCCGAAGCTGTTGACCTATCACACGTTCGCCCCCCACCATCTGGTGAAAACGAGGGCACGCTGAAACTATAATCCCGAGTGGGAGCTCCACCGTAGCAGTTCCATAACTGTGTTCAACAAGCCGCTCCAGATCTGCTTGCAATGAATACGCATGAACGGCAAACCCCGATATGCTCACGAACACTCCAATCAAAAAAATGCATGACACTATGCACCAACAGGCAGAACTGAGGGGACTGTACCCCATGGACACGGCAACCACATGGATA